ACGTTTTTATTACTTTTTAGTTCACTTCTTCACATTTATATTTTTTTCTTATTGTTAGTAATCTCTAAAATAGACTGAAGATCTCTAGTCAGTTTTCTCACCAACGATCTTTTTTATTTTGTTTCCTTCGATAACTGATCCATCAAGCTCTATCTTAACCTTTTACAAAGATTTTATACAGTTACCAAAAAGCATCAACTCTCCTCATATCCGGTAAATTTATAAACTTTTCGTATAGTATAAAGCTTCGAGGACATTCCCGTAAAGAATACAAATGATTTTTACGCCAATTTAAGTTTCTTATGTCAAGTTTTAAAAAGATACACGTATACACCAACAGAGGAAAGTATATCTCCCAACGACCTAGGTCGAGTCAATACGACAAAGAAGGAAGTCAGAATCGCTGGTGGTATCGCAACAGGAAGCTAAAGACCGGAGCGAGACTTGAAGGGGTTTCTGGAACATGTAAATATATACCACCAAGCACAAGATAGATAACTATACCTTATGTACGTATACTTATGCGTAAAATATAGAGTCATTACGCACACATGTGTCACGTGTGTATAGTGAAGAAAAGCTACTAGGTCGATAAGACTATATACCTACTATGCTGCTATTATCTACAAAGAAAGTTTGGGATATTCATTTTTAAAGTGATCTCAGTGAAATTTACCCAATAACTGACACGTGTTTTTCTTCGGATGGAAAACAACATCTATATGTTTTGTAATTCGTAAATCTACAACAGAAAAATCCATTGTTTTTAAAGTGCAACTTTTCAACATCTTTGCAAATTTCTGTGGAAGATAAAGAAATTGGAGATAGAGGTTTATTCATGATGATTTCCTTGCAATACAAAGTGACCATTTTTTGAGATACCTATCAATAATGGATAAGAAAGATTCATAAATTAGATGTTGAGAATGTTCTTTAATTTTTATTCCTCCAATCGATGCTCATACTAATTACAAATTAACATAAATTCGGTAACATAAACGTTCTTAGTTTATGACATTAATTCTAATCAACAATAAAACAATATGAATAATAAATTATAATTATTTGAAAGTAACGTTTTTTTAACATAAAAAGTCTGATGTTTAAAATAACCAAATATTTTACAATTTATGTTAATTTGTCCATTTTAACAATTACATTATCTTTTGGAATAATTTTTATAATTTACAAGTAAAATAATTCTTTCTTTGCAATTATTTACATATATCTACATTACTTCAAGGAAGTAATTTTTTCCGGGTATATTTTATTAAACTGTCTCACCTTTGTTTGAGAATATTTGTTTTATAGTCATAAAAAATTTACTTTCGAACAAAAAATAATTGTTTTAAAATTCTTGAATAATCTGATAATTATATTGGCTGAATGAAAAGAGGAAAATACGAAAAATGACTATTCCACGTTATTTCTAGGTTCCTGGTACATTACAATTCCCAAAAAAAAATAACTATCATAGTAACGATAAATAAATTGTTTTATTCAGCTAAGCATTTAATAGAAAATTTTTAATAAAAACAAAGTATTTCAGTAGAAAGTTGGACAGTCCATTTTATGCAGAGTTTAAATGTTTGGGAAGTACGACATAAACTTAAAGGTAATATTTAATTAGAAACGAATCTGATGAAGTCAGAGTGATATCTTATATCTGCACCATTTAGGTAGTTCCCCTCGAGGCGTTTCTCTCCCGGAAATTTATGCCAGCAGCTCGTGGCACTCACCACTACCGTCAGCCAAGTCGACGACATCGTCGTTGGGTACTTTGGTGGGTGCTCGTTAAGCATTGAGTTTGAGGGAGAGGCAATGTAGGTACCTATACCCGTCGGGCATATCGGGGGTTGTTGATGACTGAACTAGAGAGAAGGCTGGACTACTTTGCCACAGAGGTTCTCATTACGTTGTCGTCCCCTGTACGTTTGTTCTTCATAGTCATACACAAGAACAACGTTTAAATGTACTACAGGGCATGCTGCACCTCCAGAAACCTTTTAACAAATCTGAGGAAAAACCGTTTGAAGCTTTGCAATAACCAACAAACTCTTGTACCATCAATGACTCCGCTTTCTCTCTCTCTCTCTCTCTCTCTCTCTCTCTCTCTCTCTCTCTACATTCATAACATAATAGTTATACAGTGATTGTCCGTTCCGTAATTGTCCTCTGTTTATTTTGCATCTAAAATAGTGGTTATCATGTAGTTTTGAATATAATAATAGTAATAATAATAATAATCCTAAAGGTCCTTCCCGGGAGACTGGGACTCAATCTTTATGGTCAGAAACTTGACCGATGTGGTTTGAACTTTGGATTATAGTTATTATCCAACTACTAACTTTACTAATCAAATTCTAGCGGAAATTCTGGTGTCAAAATGACAAGGAGTGAAATGAGTTTGCCAAACTGGAAAACAATAGTTTAAATAAAGCGAGTAGCTGTTCAAGAAATTCGAGATCATTATTAAATACCATAATCTAGATTTATCTTCTATTTGAAACAATAGATATTTAGTAATTAGAGTAAGTGTACATTACTATTTTCTCTCTCGTTCATCAAGAGAAATTAACGGTACAAATTATGCGAGGAATGGTTTGGTGTTCGATTTTCAATACATTATGATGCAATATATCTATATATCCTTTAATTTAGTAAAATTATTATGTAAAGATTTTTCATGGAAACAATGACAAAAAAATTTACGTTTCATTAAGGAATGTTTTGTAAAATGGAACGTCTAGTCTGAATGTAGACGTACATAGACGGTAAAAAAGTTTTTGAGTTCAAAGAAGTTTTATTGATTAAAACGAATACGAAGAAAGATTCAAAAATGAAGTAAAAAAATTGAAAAAATTTTTTGTTATGGTTTTAAGAGATTTTCATGCAACTGCAAGGTTCAAGATGATGTTAAATTAGCAAAGATAATAAAAGAGATGCTAAAAAAAATCAATGAAGAGAAAATGAATGTATAGAATATATTTTTGACAATTTTTTCTGCATTTTACAATGAACATATTCATATAATAAACATAAATATTAAATAATAATTTAAAAAACTAATGTATTATTTGAACATCGAGATAAAAGTGAAAAATTGTACTTGGTCTCCACTTCCTGCTAAAAGTACATCATACTCTCATTTGAAAATCCACATTTCGATCTCTTAGAATTTTTAAATCCAGTTCTTCTCTCACATAATTTGACTGTCAGACTGCAACCATCTGTGACTTTTATGTTGTTCTCACATAATAAGTATCCGCCAGTCATTACCGGCAATTAACAAACATGCAGCACTCTACATGTTTACATCCAGTAATTTCAGACTCAAGAACTTCAGTAATTACTTACTTTAGAGGATTTCTTGTCCTCATGATGTGAGGCTTTTGTGAATAAGAAAATACGTTGAGCCAAGTGAGCAACTTTGACTTTTATTGTTGCATAAGAGGTTTATGTTGATAATTGTAGGCTGACAAAGTTTTATTGCTGTCTTGACATATATATCTGTTGAATACATGACTTGTCCCAATATATACTTAAAGACACTGCTATTTATCGAATCAATTTTGTATTCACTTTCTTTGTTACTATACAAAATTTATACTTCTTCTTTGTCGCGTGTTTTCAATTCTCTTTAAGTGATATTATGCTATTGAGTATCACGAGTAAACTGTTGTATGGATTCAGCGAATGGATAAAAACGGTATCAATTGCACCGGAAGTCTCACCCAACTTCCGTTAATCGAGATATCGTGTTTACGATGTTGATCGATTTATGAAAGAAAAAAAAATTGACAAAATAAACCTACAATCCTAAATACATTCTATTAGAATTCATGAAGTTGAATCACGAAATTCAATTTCTATTTTTATTTTTTTTAATCAATTATTTTAATAAATATAGTTGATTTAATTATTCTATAATTTTTTAACATTCAAGTCACTTTTATTTGAATCAATTCGACATAATATCTGCAAAAAATGACTTTCAAGGGAGTTGGACTGTTGCATCACATCCAAAAGATTTCAATTAAATTTATGAAAATAACATGTTGAGTTCATGGGTTTATCAAAGTCACATGATATACAATTTATATTACCATTTGAATAGGTACGGTAGTTGAATGGATAATCATGTCCTTACTATGAAAGCTTAGATTCAAACTCAACAGTTATTACTTTTTCATTTAAATGAATAATTTGAAGTAAAAATTAGCTAAAATAACTTCAAAAGGTTAATTGCCACCCTGCAAACGAAATGAAATGATTATAAAAATGTTTTTATTTAGAGAACAAAATTTCTCCTTGTTCTAGACAGTTTGAAAAATAATATCCCATTAATATTTGATTTTTATTACGTTTCTCAGCTTGATAGATAATCATTTATATAATATATAAAAAGGTGAAAAAATATAAAGAATATAATTCTATCATTTGAATGCCGGAAGAAAGATGTGGCCACTGGAAGCGAGATTAAATGGAATAACGTTATCTCTCTGTTGAAAATCAAGAGGGATTTCACGGATTGAAATTGAGTGCCATCAATTTCAATGTCATTTTCGAGTGAGGAAGTGCTTTTCGGTATAATTCCTAAGCTCTATGTAGTTTTAACCTCAAGAAGACTACATCACGTCATCAATTATTGCACAACTACTCTCGCGAGAGTAACGCTTTCGTTCAAATATTTATACAGCCATATAAAATACTGATACATTTTTGAATAATACTCTCAGTTATTTTATACGGTTGTTAAAAGCTCAATTTTAAATAATGTTTTTATTTTTAAACTAATAAATGAACCATTTACTATGATTTATTACTACGTGTTATCATATTACCTAGCACGTTACAGATGAATTCACTATTGTATTAACTTTTAATTAATAATTATATTATTGGCGTAAAGTGAGTACGAACTATCATATACAAATATGTACATCCTTTAACAACTTGTTATTTTATTGCTAATAAGATTTTTATTATTCATGTTACAGGTGAGTCATCGACGACTGTATTAGGCGGTATTAAACTTTACCGTTCAGTGATTATTATTGAATATCCAGGAGCACATTAGGCATAGAATTAATTGATGAATTAGGAAAGAAAGGTAAGATAATCCTCTGACACTTCATATCTTTCCACTTCCGACATATCCACCTGTTCTCTTAATATACGTCTCAGGAAATTAATTCATTAATCAACGGATTAATTACACAATCCGGCTTGGGTTTACCATAATCTACCCTATGTCTGATGAATGAAAATTTCATGAGAAATTTTTATTTCTCTCATTTATATCAACCATACTATTCAGCATGAAAATTTTACATTTGCTAACAAGACTGCTTTCTAATGAAATTTTAAAATCTTTTCTTGGGATTGGTAACCATCTAAAATAACATCATTGAACGCCGCCGGGTCGATTAACCTCTTCTAAAAATTGACAATGTCAAGTGATTTATAAAATGGAGTAAAAATATACGCTTTGATTGAGATTAAAAAATCACTAGGAAATAAAAAATTTTGGTAATTTTGTCTCAAAATGAAATAAAAACCATTTTAATAGAATTTATCATATTCTATCATTAAAAATTTTTTTTTAATGACTTTTTAATGATATCAAAAAATTTTACAAATCAATTTAATTATCAACTTTCTGTCAATTTAAAAAAATAAAATTATTAAGATTTATCACTGTTTTTTTGTGTCATTTTAATCTCTGACTTGAACTCGAAATATAATTTTTAGTATTAATTTTCCATTAATACAAAATAATTTCACTTAAAAGAGTAAAAAAAAAAAAAAACTACATTGTTTTTTATTTTTAAATTAATTTTTTCCAAATCTAAAAACCCTGTGGGCTTACTATTAGTTGATATTATTTTTAAAAATGCCCGCAGGCGTTAAAGTTATATGTATTTCCCTAAAAATAATTCTCAAATTAATCATTGAATGCATAAAGCGTAAAATAGTTGAATATCTATAGATTATTCGTAAATTAGTTTATCTGCTATATAAACCAAAAAGTGAACATGATACTAATTAATCCAACAATTAATGAGCTTCATTTTCACAAGCAGAGAGTTTATCACCTTTAGTATAGGTATACCAAGGTTCTCTTGTAAAATTGATTAATGTCTCATGTATACGGTGGTACACCATTTACCACCAAGTATGTCACCCCTTGATCCTATATGATATTCATGAATGATACGGAATTAATTTCTCATATGTATGATTCTTTTTAACATTATAATTTTTTGCATCTCATCTGCTACTGCTACAACTACCATTGCTGATCATCTCGGCCATCATTAATTTTATTATCGTTGTTATTAAAATTAACCACCTTGAACTGAAAAAACAAATTTACAATCAACAATACTAGACCATTATTCTATAAACTCGAACAGGGAAATTACATCAAGATTTATTATTTAATTGGTAACTTAATTAAAAAGTTATAAAATAATAAAGTTTATGATTAATTTAACGACTCACATTCAGAAAGAAACATTAACTTAAAATTCTGTTGATAAGAAAAGCTTAAAACTATGAAGAAAGAAGGGTGGAAGAGTTAAAGTACGGGAAGAGAATTGTTTTCATTGGAATTTGGCAAGAATAGAATGAGAATTTGTCTCTGGTGGCCAGTAATTACGTCCCTAATTTCTAAGGAATGTCTTAACTCGTGGCCGCGACTAAAGCAGCCGGTACTAATGTCACTTGGTGGTTGTTGTGGTGTCATTGATGCGAAGGCGAAAGCATAACAGAATGTGAGTATCGTAGGAAAGACAAAGAGAACCTGGCAAGTGAATACGTTGTAGAGTATCAAGTCCAGTCTTCCAATGAGTCATCGCACCCTACTGACTCGTCGAACAAAGGAATCGCAGTTGTTAGTTTTCCCAACGAGTAAACGAATTCGTATTATTTCTACTACCACTGCTCTTAATAATAATAATAATAATAATAATAATAATAATAATAATAATAATAATAATAATAATAATAATAATAATAATAAGCGTCAATTTGTCCATTACCAACAGTTGGTAACATTTATTATTGAAATGTAACAAGTTTCTAAAAAGATATAAAGAAAATCATACTTTATCGAAGATTCTCAATTTCCAAGACTTAGAAAAATACACCGAGTCTCTAGACTCTTGATTCTTTTTATTTCATTTTCTTTCCTTCAATTTCTTCTGGTTCGCTCACTTGCTTCGTTTTATTCTTCTTATTGCCAATTCTTGACTTGCCCTGCGAACTCTTTGGTTTACATTTCCTTTTGCATTCCATACTCAAGAAGAGAGATACATTGTAGGGAATATATTCCGCCTACAAGAATTTCTTGAATTATAATTATTCTCTTTTACACTTATATCAACACTTTTTCAGAGAGAAAAACCATTTTTCCACGTGTCTCATCTCCATTATTGTTGTTATTATTATTGTACGAAACACAAAAATTTTTATTATTCTTCTTACGGAAAATAATAACAGAAGATAGTTTGTTGCATGATGCACCATAGAGTTTGTGCAGTAATTTTTGCGCCGCTGATAACCGTCAAGAAATTCCCTGAGGTGGATCTTCTCGCGGTGGCTGTGTAATTCTCACGCGTTCTTCTCTTATATACACGCCGTGGCCCTAGAGGCATGTTACTATTATTATTATCATCGCAGTGTCAGTATTTTTTGTTATTTTTAAATCTAGAAATGCGCGTGAGGCGTCATAGAGTCTTCTGGCTCGCGGGACACTTGATTGCAATGTGCAGGAGAATCAACGAATGAAGGGGAAGGGGAACAAAATAATACACAAGTATGAAGGAAAAGGATGCAATACATTACGGGAAAGAATGATTGAGGGTGGGGAAAGGGGAAATGAGGAAGACAAAGACTATAACTAAGAGGATATTTTTGTTGTCCTGTATGTCCTCGCGTGCACAAGTCCATCAAGACTTGAAGCGAGTGAGATAGACCTAACCATTTATCGCTTGCACGAGACGACTTTGCTTTACGTTCATCACATCTAGACACATGATTTAACTTTTTCTTAAGATATGGTACCTTGTTTCTGTTCATACTACAGTCAAACTCCTCCAATTTTTAGACCCGTAATTTTACTTTATGTATATTAAATGTCAATATGTTATATTTTAGTCGATATGTTAACACAAGACTCTGTAATTTTTATTCTTAGAAAGATTGGGCGAAAACGTAAAAATTATATTCGCAATTAAACATTGACTTGTCGTTCACTTTTTTCAAATTATTTACGCCTACTTGATGCTTTTAGATACATGGTATGAGACAGTATTGAGGAAAAATAGAAATTTATCGTATTTCAACACTTTTCAAACGTTATTGTGTATTTGTGTCATTTGAGTTTACTAGGATTGATGAATAAAATTGTTGTGTGGTTATAAAAAATAAAAATAAAAAAATAAACGTGAAATAGATTAAATGTTAACAATAGAGTTATTCAGTCGGTATTAAAATATTTGAAGAAATACCTCGGTAGAGTTTCGATCATTGCTTTCCCATGGAGTAAATTGGAAAATGATAAATTTTATTCCCTGTAATTTAAAAGTATTTTTGTTAATATAAACAAAGCAATTTAATAATAAGTAATAACATTGATAAAAGTATTTTTGTGTTATTTTCTAAATAAGAAAACTTTTTATATTAATTATAAAAGTTAAAAATAGCCATTTTTGAAATTAAAACTACAAGTATTGACTCTTCAATTATTTAGGTTTTGTTATTTTTTTCGTATCATCGTGAATAGATTTTTATTCATACTACAAAATTCTCAATATCACTTTTTGAAATTTTAGAGCTAAATTCAATTGTGATAATAATCATTAAGTGATGGTTCTGAAGCTACTCAAATTTTTTTAATAGATTTGTTGTTCTTTAAAATTAATCAATATACCATTCTACTATACTTGAAGAAAAAAGGTGACATTTTTTCATTAGACTTTTTTTTTCGTTGAAACTGAGTTTCTAACAATCATTAAGATAGTCACTGTTGAAATCTATAAAAATTTCACTGCATTAATTTTTCAAGGATTTTTACAACTACTTTTTTAACGTCTTACATTTTTTTATCTTAGTGAAATTCAACTAGACTTTTACTACAACATAAAAAATCTTATCACTTATATCGACTACCATCAAAAGAAAAATAAAATATAAATTCAGAACTGTTAAAAACCAACAATCTTAAAGTCTTCTTTCTTTTGTGGTTTCAGTAAAAGCATTTTTTTCCTTCCATTAAATCAAAAATTTTCCAGCGTAAAATCAATAAAAAATATATACTATAAATATTGTAAAATTTCTCAATTTTATGGAAAATCTCATCATCAATTTATTAACATTGATAATTATTTTAATAATATTATTAAAATTTATTGAAACAAAAGTTGAATAAATTTTCTGACTTTAATATACCATCCTTATGGAAATAATATATTAAAATCGAAAACCCACGAAAATTGTTCACTATTGATGTAAACAAATAAAACATCAATCAGATGTGTGTCCTTTTATCTTCAACGAGGAAAACACAACACGTCCATTTGTAATGCTTGATATTATATCTATTATGCAATACGTATATACATACATACGAGGTTTATTACTTGCATACAACTGTTTAATATATCACTTCCAATTATTCTGTACAGTGTTATAAACGTGTACACGTCCGCTTGCATTAATTATCTTACACACGACATAACAGTGAATCTGTGAACAATATATTCCAAATTCGTTCATTATTTGATCGCCAACGAATGCAAAAAGAATCTTCGAAAATGTAAATACTTATAAATTTTAATCGCACGTATATTCTACATAAGAACTAACTCGATTATTATTTGACGATAAAGTTTTTCGATCGCTAACATACTTCTTTTCATCATCAAACACGCGATATAAAAGTTTAAGTTTTGAAAAACTTTTATTATTTTCTTCCTTTTTTATTCCATCTCTGAAAGTATTGCAGAAAATAATATTTCATAAATCTATACATCTGCATTCACAACAGGAGATGAATAAATAATACAATGTGTGCAAAAATATAATTTTTACGGTTCAACAACAAGT